AACGTGTGATGGTGTTTCTTTTTTTATTGCAAATAGAGTATCACTGTGTTTCTAAAATAAAGAAGGGTATTAATTAACAACTTTACTTTAGATAACACCTCTAACTTTTTATAAATACATTATTATCAAACTAAAGTTAATAATAAACTTATTAAAAATATGTCTTTATAAGTATTATATAGCTTTTTTAAAATCACATTAATTTTTTTAATTTTAAAAATTTTACAATCATATTATTAGATGCGTCTTAAGATAATAAAATTTTATAAATAATTCTTATATTTATCATTTAAGAGATAATAGAGGTAAAAATTGAAAATTATTAAATTTATATCTTTTGAAGACTAAATTAATTAAATAAATTACAAGAATTGAGTATGAGAAGATAATATGAAAGACTAATATTATAAGAATATAATTTAAATAATAACGTAAGTCAATTACCCCAGTATCGGCAACACTTTTTTCATCCCCACGTGATTTTTTGGCCGGCATTACTGAACTTGGTCTAAATTATACGGGTGACAAATAAGGTGACAAATAGAATATTTTACACGGGTAAGTCCTAGATCATCCGAAAATTTTATAAATTTACCTTTTTCATTGCATTTTTGTTCAAGCTTCAGATCATCATGGCTCGTTATTGTCATTTATCATATACATTTACAAAAGCTAATAATTTTACTTATTCGCTTACTCGTAATGCTTTAACAACATACACTTATTTTATTAATTCTAATGCTCCATTTACTATTTATAATCGTCGTTTGTCTTCAAATACAGGTATACTATTTATTATTTAATTCATTTATTTAAAAAATTAAATTTTGATTATATAAACTTTTAGGAGTACGTAAACCTTTATTTGACAAGGTTTTAATTGCAAACCGGTACGGTAATATATATAATACTACTTTTTTTTTTTTTAAAAAAAAAAAAAATTTATTTTATATAACTATGATTTTTTTAGTGGCGAAATTGCTTGTCGTGTAATGCAAACTGCTAAGAAATTAGGCATAAAGACAGTAGCAGTTTACAGTGAAGCCGATAGACATGCTTTACATGTAAAAATGGCAAGTATATCAATAATTCCAATTTTTGAATATTTTAATAAAATTCAAACTTACACTCATTCATTTTAAGGCAGATGAGGCATATTTAATAGGTTCTGCTCCATCAGCAGATAGTTATTTGAATATCAATAAAATCATTTCTGTTGCCAAACTGAGCAACTCCCAGGTACGCTTAATCCATTTCGACTCATTTTATTATTTTGTCGATTATTAATTTTTTTTTTGTTTTTTAGGCTATTCATCCTGGATACGGATTTTTATCTGAAAATCCGGTTTTTGCTGATCTCTTAGCAAAAGAGAAAATAACATTTATTGGTCCTCCAGCATCTGCAATGGTTTCGATGGGCTCTAAAAGGTTGTACTTTGTGATGAAAATATTAGCTTGTGACTTATTTTACACGTTGTTCTATGTTTTTCTAGTGAGTCAAAAGACATTATGATTGCTTCCAATGTTCCCGTTGTTCCAGGTTATCATGGCAAAAATCAAGATCCTCAATTTTTAAAACAAAAAGCTTCGGAAATTGGGTATCCCATATTAATCAAAGCAATTAAGGGTGGTGGTGGCAAAGGAATGCGAATTGTAAATAATCCATCAGAATTTGACATTCAACTCGAGTCGTCCAAAAGTGAATCGATGAAATCTTTTGGAGATGATCAAGTGCTCATTGAAAAATATCTTTTAACTCCTCGTCACGTTGAAGTACAAATCTTCGCTGATAAACAAGGAAATGTAGTTCATCTTTTTGAGAGAGATTGCTCTGTTCAAAGAAGACATCAAAAAATTTTGGAAGAAGCACCGGCTCCAGGATTAGATGATAAAATAAGAGAAGATCTTGGTGCAAAAGCTGTTGCGGCAGCTAAAGCTGTAAATTATGTTGGCGCTGGTACTGTAGAATTTATTATGGATAATTTAGATAAGAAATTTTATTTCATGGAGATGAATACAAGATTACAGGTTGAACATCCTGTTACAGAAATGGTTACCTCTACAGATTTAGTTCAATGGCAATTAGAAGTAAGTTATAAATATATTAATCAAAGATACTTTAATCTTTTAAACTTCAAATTGACCTCTTTTAGGTTGCTTCAGGTAATCCACTACCTGTTACGCAAAATCAGTTAAAGCTTGAAGGTCACGCTTTTGAAGCGCGTATTTATGCAGAAAATCCTGCGAATGATTTCTTTCCTGATATTGGTCCTTTACTTCATCTTCGAACGCCATCACCATCATCAAATGTTCGAATTGAAACTGGATTTGAACAAGGTGATGAAATTAATGTTCATTATGATCCTATGATAGCCAAATTAGTTGTAAAAGGTCAAGATCGTACGGAGGCGCTAAGAATTTTGAAGAATGCTTTAAACGAATATGAGGTATATATTCAATTAACTCTATCTGTAGACTCTGAATTTTGTTATTAAAAATAACGTCGTTATAATATTTCATTAGGTGGTTGGTTTACATACCAATATTGAATTTTTAAAAAGTGTTGTCTCACACAATGCTTTTATTAATGGAGAAGTTGAAACTGACTTTATAGCAGTAAAATCAATTTTTTTAAAAAATGTTTTTATTGCTAAATGTAAAGTTATTAATTAATACCCTTCTTTATTTTAGAAACACAGTGATACTCTATTTGCAATAAAAAAAGAAACACCATCACACGTT